AAAGCACCTCGATGAAAAAAATGCATCTTTTGTGAGATGACTGGACACTGCACGGAAGATTGCAGAAGAAGCATTAGTATGCAACAGAAGAAAGAAGCCTTGCAACGGGAACGAAGTTGCTTCAGATGCACCAGACCTCACCACACGGCGAAGATATGCCGCGCTAACGTACGCTGCAAAACATGCAAGGGAAGGCACGCGACATCAATGTGTCGACCACGTACGCCTGCAGGAAAGTCAGCACAGCAGCAAAGCGGTGATGTTGAGCAAGTGCGTAAAAGCGCGCAACCTGACCGGTTAGACACCAGCAAGTCCTGCAACATGCACGCACAGCAGCCTGATGAACACAAGTGCATACTACTGCAGACAGCCTTTTCGTGGACGGAGGGAGAAAGCAGCGGGTGCTACGCACGGATTCTGCTGGACAACGGGAGTCAGAGGACATTCATCCTCAAAATATTGTCAAGAAAACTAGCGTGCAAGGTAAAAAGATGCGAAAGGATTACTGTAGGATCATTTGGAGGAGGAGAAATGGAATTAGACATGAAAGTCGTCGAGGTCAGCGTGAGGAAGGATCCCATCTCGGAGCCAGTCACGATTGAGGCACTGGAGATAGAAGTTATATCCTGTGACGTGCTACCATCGCCACCGTTGACAATACACGAAAGAGCAAGATCGATGGGAATGTGTTTGGCTGATGACAACGAGAAGACGGACAAAGAAAGAAAAAATATGGAAACTTCTATATTAATTGGAGCAGATTATTACTGGACTGTAGTCACTGGTCGCATTTGCGAGATTCATCCAAAAGTAATGGCAACAGAAACAATATTGGGATGGACAGTCCAAGGTCCTGTAGGACTTCATTGTGTGCCAATGAAATCATCGACGGTTATGGCACTCAAGCTCAGTGCCAAGTCGGACACGACTGTGGATGAACTGCAGCGATTCTGGGACTTGGAAAACATGGGCATCAAGGAGGAACCAGCAACAAAGATGAGCGATGAACATTTGCTAGAGTACGTCCGACAAACAATGGAGTTCAAGGCAGGAAGATACCAAGTACGGCTACCATGGAAGGAAAACGTGACATTGGACGACAACAACACCATTGCAGAGAAGAGGCTTATCCAGGTGACCAACAGTGAATTATGGTGGAAAGGCACCACGTGGATCAAGAATGAAAAACAAAGGCCTGATTATGACATAACGCAAGAATCGGACAGTGATGACAAGAAAGACGAAGAAAAGACCGTGGCAAGCTTAACTACCACCACGAGTGAACAAAAGATAATTGATGTGAGCAGGTTTGGATCATACAAGAAAGCGTTACGAGTTACCGCGTGGGTGATGCGTTATATAGGAAACCGACGAAAAGAAAGGAAAGCAGGTTCGCTGACAGGAGAAGAATTGGACAAGGCAGAGTTTGTGCTGATAAAGCAGGAGCAGAAAACGCTACAAAATTCAGTGACACGAATATATGACAACATGAATCTGTACGGCACGAACATCTTAGAAGATGATCAAGGTGCCCTAAGAGTAAAAGGGAGGCTTCAGTGGAGTGATTTGAGCTTTGATGAGAAGCATCCTATTATTTTACCAAGAGAAAGTCACTTTTCAGAACTTCTAGTTCTGAACGCGCATCAAGTAACAATGCGCGGTGGCGTTGCGGCAACATTGACACATCTAAGAACGAAGTTTTGGATTCTGCGTGCCCGACAGATGGTGAAATATGTGATAAAGAAATGCATCACATGTAGGAGATTCAATTCTAGACCAATGGCACAAGAAATTCCACCACTACCAGCTGACAGGACAACACAGACGAGGCCATTCGACACTGTTGGTATAGACTTTGCTGGACCGCTAAATGCTCGAGAGGAGAAAGGCGAAAAGGTTACAAAGTTTTACATTGTGATATTTACGTGTGCAGTAACAAGAGCCATACAACTGGAGTTGGTCAAGAGGATGTCATCAGAAGCGTTTATACAAGTGTTCCGAAGATTCGTAGCTAGAAGAGGATTGTGTACAACTATTTACAGTAATAATGCAAGAGCGTTCAAGAAATCTGAGAAAGAGATGAACAAGATATTGAAGATGGAAGATGAAAGGGTTCAACAGTATGCCAGTAACCTGAAAATAAAATGGAAGTTTATTGTAGAGTTAGCTCCATGGTGGGGAGGATTTTATGAAAGACTGATCAGAAGCTTTAAGACATCCATGGCAAAAACTATAGGTGCTCGACTTTTGGATGAAGAAGAACTACGGACTGTGGTTGTTGAAGCGGAAGGAGTACTTAACACCCGGCCTCTCACTTATGTGTATGACGAGCCTAACGAGCCACAACCCATCGCACCGGCGGACGTTATAGGAGGCAGGCAAGCAATGAACAAGCAGGAAGAAAACAGACTCGGAGAATAACGTTTGCTGAATTACTGGAGTGCAAGAAAACAGGCTATGATAACATGGTGGACCAGATGGAAAAAGGAGTACCTGAGGGAGCTTAAGTGTGCCAGCAGAAAAACAGAGCGTCACGCAAATGTACAAGAAGGAGATGTACTTCTGCTTGGTGAAGCGCGAAAAAGAACTCGGTGGAAACTCTGCAAGGTTTAAAAGATTTTCCCAGGCAAGGATGGACTATTGAGAACATGCTTGCTTCGTACACCTGAAGGAAAATTAGTCAAGAGGCCGATTCAACTGTTGTATTCGCTCTAAGGTTGCTTCGGTTGAATCTGGCCGGCGGAAAGATGTAGACAACAGATTAAAGATGGAGCTCGGAGGCGAGGAAGCAGAAGTAGCCAGGGGCACGCTCTGCATTTTTTATTTTCTTGTTCTGTCAACAATAAACCGAAGACGTATCGGTTCTGTGGTCTCTCTGGTCCTTCCGAAACAGGGGGAGGGAGGGGGAGCAGCGCAGCTGCTGCGTATCAGCATGCGCGAGCGAATACAAAGGAAGCATGAGAGGTATAGGAAGTTTCCGCCCTTTAGGTCAGCGTTACGATAAGGCAAGGCGCTTCCAGTCTTCGTGTGTTTTTTTACCCCTTTTTTTTTGGAACTTTCCACGACAACTGCCCCAGCCGTGACAGAAAATCAATTTCTATGAAGAATTCTGAGAAAATCACGCTGATGTACTGCAACTACACGGTCACTCTTTTTATGCAACAAATTTAGTTGGCTTGTATTACTGCCATCGCAAAATAATGCAATAGTGGAACTAAACTACAATTTTTTTTTCGCCACTAAAAATTGTTTGGGTTAAACTTTCCGTGAACAAACATGCAATGTTTCTCAATTGTATGAACTTTCCTCAGATTTCTTTCTTGAACCACGTTAGGGTGCTACAGACGTCTCAACATAGACAAACTGGCACTTTTCCCAAGTTGATAATTTTATTTTAGAGCATATGCACCACACACAGGCAAAACAAGAATGTTAGAAAATATTACGTTTTATGCAAAGCTTCCTAGAAGATTTGATTTGTATGCATATTATCAATAATAGTTTTGTAGAATTTTCTAAAACGCGGCAATTTACTCACCTTTGCCTATGCGTCAAGGAATAAAACATTCAAAGCTACCATAAGGAACTCTCCCAGAAAAAAAAACACAATGCTCGAAAATGCGAAAGAGCAAGTCTTGAAAGAATGCGCGAAACGGTCGATTTATAGGGATTTTTTTCTACCTGGGGTCTCCATTATTTCCTAAATTCCAAATAGTGGTCACGTGCGCAAAAAAAGTTACCCTTCAAATTATTTTGACAAAGTATGGTAAAAGTAACAACTATATCTGTGTAGATTTCTTACTTTCTTTTTTCTTACAGAAATTCATTTTTGGTGAGCGTCACGGCTAGAACAGTTGACCTGGACTGAACCCTATTCAAACACGCATTCATTACGTCCCCAGTGTCATCTGAGATTCTTCAGATTAATCCTCTGCTTGTCAATACACTGGCACTATGCCGAGGCTCTTGTCACAGCTCGACCCTTTGTTGTTTAATCCAAGTATAAGTGGCCTGATGTACATGACAACGCTAATATTTGCTGTTCTTGTGATTCTGTATGCCCAAACTAGTTGTGCTTTGCTTGGCGTGATGATTATTTGATACTCCACGCCACCAAGGCTCCACAGGGTTTGAAACAAGCTCACGAATGCCTTTCATTCAACACTTGTGGATTATTTTTTTGCGACGTCATGGCAAATCAGTAGAAGACGTGCCCTGCACAAACACCGGCGTAGCCAGCCTGGGGTCGGGGTGTTTTGCTCCGTCTCCTTATAACGTCTTCTTATAATAAACCTTAACGCGCGAGCATGGATCGCTGAATCCCCTGTTCCAGGCGTCCTGGTGTCTGGTTCCCGGAACAGCCTAGCAAAAGACAGCTGCGCAGGACATCGCAGGCATGCACGTATTCTTGTTCATTTTACCGCTGTGGTCCGTTAAAGACCACTTATCGACTGGGTGGTGCATGCTCGCACGTTCAAATTTAAAAAATGGGCGGCTGTATATACGTGCACGCTCAGCCAAAAGTGCTGGCACCAGTGTGCGTAAAGAACATACCCTACCCCTCTCAACCCCTTTCACGGAAACATTGCTGGCTGCGCCACAGGTGGCCATGTTAGTCGTACACATATGGTTAACAAGTGAGGTCTGCTTATAATGTCACCTTTTCCATTAGACACCTCTTCCTTGTCTATACATTAACCCCATGCCAAAGTTCAAGCACTATTGCCAACTCATAGGCTCAGTCAAAGATCCGTTTAATCTCTCTGTTTCCTTCTACTAAACCACAGGGAATCTGTGCCTTCTTATAAGGTCACTTTTTCGATTAGACACCTCTTCTTTGTCTATACATTAACCCCATGCCAAATTTCAAGCCCTATTGCCTACTCAGAGGCTCAGTCAAATATCAGTTTAATCTCTCTGTTTTCTCCTAATAAACCACAAGAAATCAGTCCAAGGCACAATCTGCAGGATGTCAGACTCGGGTAGTGTTGTACACAAACCTGCGACGTGTCTCGTCCCAGCCAGAAATGGATGTTCCACTCGAGTCTGCCGCTCTTCGCTTGCTTCGTCTGCGAACAGAGAAAGGAGAACAAAAACAAACACCATGAGAAAAATGCCGGGAAGCGAAAGCTTAGGTACGAGATCGACATCGGCAGCTGTTCGCGTCTGGTCCCTGAAAGGCCGTGCGCGGGGCCCGGCCGGAAATTCTGGGAGCGCGACAAAGCCGGCGCGCCGCACGAATATATGCCGCCCCGAGATGCTTTTAGGGTCACGCGCGAGCGTGGGCGCGAATAAAGAGCCTTCGGATGAGCGCCACTTGGTTCCGTTACTTCCCTCACCGATTCCATCTTTGCGCGTTGCGTAAGGATAGGTGTCGACTGCGTCACTGACAAAGAAGCACGTGGGCTGCACCTAGTATAGCCCGGCCGCATGACAGTGCCCTTTTACCTGAATAATCTGAGGGAACATTCTACTCCCTCTCTCTTTCTCCATTTCTCTCGCTGATGACATTTTAGGGGTGAAGCTCCTTACAGTCTAACCTTGTCACTTGTCACGCGTAACCGAGAGAAGAAGAGACGAGAAAGAAGAATGGATGACCATTTCTTGTCTAATTTCCTAGATGGCGATACTCTGCCGCTACTCTCCGATTGGCTGCTGCGCGCTCTTTGCCTGGGTGCGCGAACAAGTGCCTCTCCCAGTCTTCTGGATAATCGCAGTACGTGGTGGATCGTTGGTGGGGCGGGGACGCAGCAGAGCGGCAGGCGCGTTGAGGACTCTTGCGCTCGGCTTCCTTGGCTCGCGTCTCGTCGGTGTTACCCGCGCTTCGTCTGCATTATCAAGCGCGATCGGACGCATGGACGCATGTACCGCCGAACGTACACACGGACAGATTGTACGGACCGACGCTTCGCCCCACTTGTCACCGTTCACTTCGTGGATATGCTGTGATTTTTTTTCTATCCCTATTTTTCCTTCTCCTACGAATAAACGGTCGAACTTATCTATAATCAAATGGCATAGGGCCATAAATTAGCTGGTAATATCAAATATTAATTATAATAGTGGAGATAAAGATCACCTATAGCAAATTATAAACTAGCCTAGGGAAAAGATGTTAGATACAAATACAGATCATTTTAGACGTCATACCCACTATAAACAGATGAGCTTCTAAAGTTTTCTCCATACCTTGTAGGTGGTGCAACCATTAAATACTTTTTTTTTGCGTCAGACGACGAATACTTCCGCAACATTTTAAACCTAATGTTTTCCCAGTCCTTTAATGTCGCAACCACAATGAATATGCATCATGGTCAATTGTGCAACCTTTCGTGTTTCGAGCCTTACACGGTGTATATATTTGCATGTTAGAACCGATACTGCGGTGGCTCTCGTATTTTCGGCTTCGCTCTAAAAAGAACTAATTCCACCAAAACAAAGCATGAGTAAAAAGTTCGTGTTCAGTTCGCTGTAACCGATAATTATCTATATCAGTGTTCGTTATTACGAGGTTCCACTGCATAGTCAACCAGATGAACTTCCGGTTAACCACCTGTCTTGTATTTGTGCTTTCCGCGCTCACAGTAATTCAGCCCCACTGTGGTGGTTCAGTGGTTATATATGGCGCTCGGCTGCTAACCCGCAGGTTGCGGAATCGAATCCCGTCTGTGGCGGCTGCATTTAAAATGAATGTGAAAATGTTTGAGGCTCGAGTACTTATATTTAGGCGCACGTTAAAGAACGTCATGACGAAATTTCTGGAGCCCTCCACTGGGGCATCTCTCGTAATCATATAGCGGTTTGAGGGTGTTAAACCCCAGATATTATTATACCAAAGTACCGCCGTGGCTCTGAAGAGCGTCAGGATTTCTACACTACTCCGAAACACTCCTCACGTACACGTGTGCACGCCTTTCACACATCTCCGTTTCTCCAAGTGCTCATATGCCATGGTGCCTCTTTGTTTTCCTCAGTGCACGATAGCAAGCAAGCACGGCGTGACCGTTATTACTCGGCGAGTCAATGTCTTACTTATCTCCTTCTTTATAGGCATCATGGAGGCTAAGACCAGCATCGTTCAACCAGAATCGATGTCGCGAGGCTGTTTAGTATTGTGAACTTTTGAGGGTCTCACAATATACGTATATTTCATAACTCGCTTTCAACACGTGGCCCTCCGCAAGTTTCTGTAAAGTAGCCGCTACCTGTTATTAGTCTGAGAGAATCACGACAACTGTCGACCTTCCTCACATGCAAGGCGATAATGGAATATTATCTGGAAGTTTTTAAATAAAGAATAGAAGAGAGCCAGTGTGAGTGAAGGTATGTATAGCTGAAAGTCTCTCAAACAAGCATTCTCTTTGAAAGCTAAGTCTGACCGCAATAATGTAGTGATCGTTCTGTTGAACTGGAGTTAATCATGCAGGCGATTTTCATATACAAGAGTAACGTAAAAATTGCCTGCGCGTAATCCTTAATCGCTTTGACAAAAATATCGAATTCTGAATTGAACATTACTTTCGCAATGGCATATATTTATTTGTTCAAAATCAGCAAGGTAACCTACTTCACTCAGCAGTGCTGAAGAATCAAGACCAGAGATACGTCCAAAACACAACTACAACAACGTAAATCAACTCAAAGTAAAGTAATTAAATTCACCAAAGGTTATTTGTCATCCTGATTTTCTAAGTAGTCAGAATACCGAGTCAGAACAGTAAAAATGTACGTTACGGTTTACCACTACTTCGGATCCTCAGAGAGTGCTTGAAGGAAGAAAAATAGGAGGGCACCACAGTTGTTTGGTGGGCACCACTGTGAAAACGTGATTTCCCGCACAAGTCATCGAAGATTACTGGCAGCAGCGGTCCGCGAAAATGGTATGGCTTCTTCTCGTGTTCCTTCAAGAGCTGCCTGCGCTGCAGTATCGGCGTGTTGGTTCTCTATAGGACGCCACAGTGACTTGGCAGCCACTGAAACGTCACATGATGCCCTTTCTCGTGTGAAGTGTGGAGAAGGCATCGAATTTCGAAAACAAGGTGTTCATACGGCCCGCGACGCAGTGTTGAGAGCACAGATTGTAGGGCATCCCTTGAGTTGCTGAAAATCGACCATTGTTGCGGTGGTTCCCGATTGACCACACAAAGTGCAGCGTGCAAAGCAGCTATAGTTCCACCGCTGTAGATGCCGTGGAGTGGTCAGTCCTAAAACTGATGGTAACACCTCTTGCTGGGACAACTACTGCACCTGACGAACACTGGCGGTCCGTGGAGCCATCGGTATATATATATATATATGTATACTGTCTGAATATTTCTCGTGCGAAAGAAGATACAGTTGTTCCAGCACGGGCGATGAAAGCTCAGATTTCCTCCAGATCCCTGGTACACTAAGTTGCACTGTGGGTCGAATAAGACTCCAAGGGGGTATTGATGGTTTATATGCAGGAGTGAAGCCCGAGGGAAGTTTCTCGTTGTACTTCACAATCATTTTAGCGAACGATGCTTGGCACCTCTCTGAAGGCAACAGTGCAAGGTGATGACAGGGAGCACGTGAGAAGTGTTTGATATGTGTTCTCAGGACTTCTACAGCAATGTGAGTTTGGTTGTATGATAATTCAAGGGAAGCGCTTTACTGTTCGAAGCAAGATCGGGGGTTGCCTTACAACGCGTAGTCATAAAGCGGGATTCAATAAAGAAGAACAATGTACATGCGATGGGGAAGCTAAGAAAACGATGGGACATGTTCTGATTGAATGCGGCGATATCCACCTAAAGATGCGAGTGTGTACAAGCCTACGAGAGGCTTTGAGTTTCAGGGAAAAACGCGGAAAGCTGAGCACGTCCACGACATAAGAAAGTAAGGGACCATTAGAGTATTGATGGCAGAAAGTTAGAGATAGCTAAGGACAGAAATAGTAGGACAATGAGGTCATTCTGTCTGAAAAAACAGAGAGATGGAACTTAAATTTATATTTTTTGTTGTAATAGGATAGATTTAATCGAAGTGGATAAGTCATTATTCCAACACAAAAAGAAAGCCCTCTCTCTTATTTTTTCTTGCGAGCCTGGTGACATACATGTGACCACCCCGTTATAAAGGGGACGCTCATAGCTCCCATCCATCCATCCTTGGGAATAATGTAAAGAGATACCATTAGTGCTTTTCCCTGCATATCCAAGGAGCGAACGATGATGAGTGGGGCGAAGCGTCCGTTCATCCATTCGTGTGTCCAACCATCCGTGCATCTATTCGTTCGCCCGTCCATCCATCCGTCTGTGCTTCCGCCCGTTTGTGTTTCCATCTGTCCGTCCTTCTGTCTCTCCGTGCATGCTTCCGTGCGTCCTTACGTCCATGCTTTCATCCATCTGTCCAAACGTCCATCCATCTGTCCGCTCATATATGCGTCCGTCCGTCGTTGCGTTCGTCTGTCCGCTCGCTCTTGCTTCTGTCCATCCATGTTTCTGTCCATCCGCCCATCCGGACGCACGCACGGACGGGAGCAAGAACAAACAGACAGATGAACGTACAGAAGCACGGACGCTTCGTCCCTCTCATCATCATTCACTCCGTAAATATCCAGTTTTTTTTATTATTTTTCGAAAGTTGCACGTGAGATAGCTGCGCCATCATATCAGCGTCTCGCTCTTCATCATTCAGTATTGTAATCTACCGATAGTTATGTTACGCAATAGCCTTCGTGGGGCTAATATGTATTAGCGTTTTTCTGTTACCAATCTACCAATGTTTGTGCGGATACATCAATAGTCACTGATAGGCATAGCAAAACTGCGATGCAGATAGGAATGCTCATGATCATCGGACTGTGATCGTTCATGTTTTTTGATCGAGACTCGACCCACAGATTTCTCGCCTTTCAAGGCGGTGTTTTGTGAGCTGGAGAATTGTCAAACAACGTTGTGACACCACGTGCGTCGTATTTCATTACGACGTTTGATCGTGTGCAGAACTGTGAAGCCACGCTGTCCCACAGCCAGCGAACGTCACGCTCTCACGAAATCAACGGACGGCCGTCCGTGTAGCAACTTTACCTTTTTGGGGCGCCTGT